AAAAAAGAAAGATAAAAAACAATCATAGGAGTGATGCACACGACCATGAAGGCACGTCGCACGCCCCAGAGTCGACTATACGCTTATCCAACTTTCTATTACGAAGTCACAAAGAAATGTCTTTACCAAAAAGCCCAGTTATTCCCTTTCCAGGGTCGCTTTGCTTCACTAGTGACTCCCCAACCAAAACCTGTAATACAACAATGTTTTCCATAAGTATCCAATACGCGTACATTCACATAGATGTTGAGACCAACTCAAAACTCCAAATTTCACCACATTTGCAAAACACAGTCACAAACTTTGCCTTTTCACATTCATTCACAAATCAGATTAGTACCTGCACGATCAAATATCTAACAGGGGGTTTGCTTCTCAGACGTTAATAACTACTGTCATCACTTGGTTACACTTAGATAGCAACCCCGAAATTACTTCCCACCCAATACCAAAACGAATCTTATATTTAAATAATTCATCACTGGTCTAACATGCAACGGAAATCGATATCGTCTTGTTATTCTAAGCTCATAGAAAGAAAAGCATTACTAGCATCAAACAAAGAATGCAATATGCTCACAACTTATGTAACTTACTGCTTTAACACCAGCTTCTTGTACATAAGCAACATCATCCGGAGTAAACAGCGCAGATTCTCCTACGACCTGATGTATGAAAGTTAACAATAAATTATTTAAGCAATTTATGGTATATATAAATTGGACAGAAATGCACTAACTTTATCTTCTAATGCACAGAAATGTATATGGAGAAGTCTCGCTTACTATTATATCTTTCTGACGGATCATTTGGCCACGCTCTCCTTCAAGAAGCTTCTTTGTGTTACTGATATCTACCTCAAATGTCTCTGAAGACAAGCATAGGTAGGGCAAGGTTATTGATGCCTAATACATTGTGATTACAGACTATAATGTAGGGCAAGGTGTCAAGTTCACAGTATGTTCTGGTCAGTACTCTTCGTGTGGAAAACAATATGATAATAAACTGTATTAGAATTTATTTTGGCCTTTGGGGTGGTTAGTGACCGCAAGAATCAAGAAACTTGCAACTCTCTCTTCACTACATCACACATTTTGACTGACTATTGGAGATACTATCTAATATATATTCTAAGGGAAAAAAATTTTTTGATATATAGTGGTGAAATAATTTAAATTTTAGATTATGAATTCATTTCCACAGAGCCAAGTGCTAGTAAGCCAGTTTTCACAATATAGTGAACACCTTAATTGGATACACCTGATCCAAAACAAGGCTCTTGTGAATAGGGGAGAATCAGTTAAAACACTGTACACATTCTCAGACAAGTCATAGAAGTTGACAACATCAAAGAAACAAATTTAAAATAAGAGGATCGGACAGTTCATGAGGCAACTCAATAAGCAACTGCTAAAACTTGAAAAACCTTACCAAGGTTACGATTATTGATACCAATAAGTTCAATCCCTTTGATACCAAGAACGCGATCCATTTCCCTCTCATCGTGCACCTAAAAGAAACCAAGGGAAGCAACAATAAAGCATATGAATATTGGAAAGAAATACACAAGAAAATTTAATAATTCTGAATGTTAGAAGCTATTTATTAAACCAAGGATTTGATGATATAACTCTTAAAAGTCTCAAATGTGCTTTGCCAATTGATCCAAAAAAAAAACTGCCTCAATAATTATGGAAGTAAAATAAATTTCATAAATCCAAAAAGCACCTCAACCAATTAAAAAGTACCAGATCAATAATAATAACAATGAAAGCTCTGGTCTAACCTCTACAAGCGCTGCCAAACCAAGCATCTTGCAGATTTTAACCATGTATCTGATGTCAAGATCAGGCAAAACAGCAGCAATTAAAAGTATTGCATCTGCTCCCTTAATTCGAGCATAATAGATCTGCCATGCATCTATCACAAATTCTTTGCAAAGCAAAGGGCACTGCATTCATTATGAGAGCAAAATTAACCCGTACACAAGAATAAAACAAGACAAGATTACAGATTAACAAACAACTAGTAACACAGACCTTTACTCCAGCACTCCTTATTGCCTCCAAATTTTTAAAGCTTCCCTAAATTAAAAAGGAGGGAAAAAAAAAGCAAGTCAGAGGAATAATATACCAACCAAGCGATTAAACACAAAATCTTCAAAAAACAAAAATGAAAAAATTACTGTGTTTACCTTAAAGTACTTTTCATCAGTCAAAACACTAAGGCATGCAGCTCCACCCTTCTCATATGCCCTAGCAATCTCAACCTATCATGGAAAACATCTATATGTGTTACAAATCACACAACAATAAAAGAATGTGATGATAAATAAATACGATACAGGACTAAGTTCACTCTTTCTTGAAGGTTTTACCCAGATAGAAGCTTAAGAATAGAACAAATCCTTATTTTTTAAGAGTATCTACACTCTTTCACATTCAAGACTGAAATGTGAAAAGCAAAATCATATTTAGTTGAAAATTAAGCAAATAACTAAAATGAAACATAGGCATTTTGTTATTCAAAAAAGATCATTTCAATTTTTCATTCTTAAACAATATAAGCCACTTTGGTATCAAAATACACTTTTTACTTTCTCCTTCCAAAGCAAAAGAGCAGACAATTAACAAAAGAAATAACCCAAATGAAGATAACTTTTCAAAGCTTATACTAGGATAATTTCCCTTTTGTCATTAGTACAAAATAATTGCTCCCTCCATCCAATAAACACTGTCTTGCATACCTTTAGTTCCCAAAATTAATCTCTCATTTAAAAAAAAAAAATCATCATTTCTTTTCCTTGTTACCCTGAAGTACTTAACTTAAAATTTGTTAAACTTGGTGCCAAGTCATAATCAGACACAATATTGTAGGGCAGAGGGAGTAAAAAGGAACCACAATTAAAATAAAAAAAAAAAAGCATCCCTTACTGGATCAAAATCCTCTCTGAGAATTCCTCTGCTAGGCGAAGCCTTCTTAACTTCAGCAATCAAACCAGGCAACCCAGTCCGTGAATGCGCCGCCTTAAGAGCTCCGACGAAGTCCCTAGTGGGTGCTGCATTCTCGACAAACTTCTTCAATGAAGCCAGAGGCTTCTTCTCTTTCATCTGCCAAACCCCGAAAATCATTAGCAACTTTCAGCCCACAAAAGAAGAAAAAGCGCGAAAGCAAATAAATGAAATTATGATAAAGTTTGTAAAATTACTTGGGAAACTTCCACGTCTTTGTGCCAAATGATTTCTTCAAGAATATTGCGAGGAGTGTTACCCTCGTTTTGCAAACGGAACTCGAAGGGACCCACGTAATGCAACGGTGGACCCGTAGGCGGTCTTCGCCTTATTCTTATGCCTTGACTCGCAGCGACTTCGTTTTGGAACATTCCAACTTCCCATTCCTTCACTTTCAACGCATCTTCCTCCTCTCCCCTTTTCGGGGATATGGTCTCCGACTACATAAAAACCAAATAAAAAAGATAAAACTAAAATACAAAATATAATGGCCATATTTAGATTCTTACTACTACTACTACTACTACTACTACTATGAACCAACCTGTTGGGCTCGAAGGCCAGGAAAATTGGAGCGGCGGAGAGGAAGGTTCATTGTGGAGCGGCGGATGAAGAAATTAGGACGGTGATTAAAGGAAGGAACTGATTGAAAGGAAATTCTAGGAGTCGCTTTCAGGGAAACCAATCCCTCCATTTTTGCAATTGAAAAACCACTAGGGGGATTCTGCAATTGACTGGGTTTGGCTGAGAATCATGACCTCATATATGCTGAGAAGGAGATGACAAAGGAAACAAGGCGAGAGAGTGAAGAGATGCAATAGGGTAATGAAAGGGCTTCTTTTCGGAAGCGGACTGCTGGGAAGCGGCAATGATACAGCGGCCTTTAAAGTGGATTTTCATCTCTATTTTTTTATTTTAATTTTTTTCTCTTTTTAAAAATTTGGGAATGGAACTGACTAATTGGCATGAAGATAATGATAACTTCTCCAAGATTTATTTCTTTTTTTTTTTGGTAAAATTTTATTTATTTCCTATTTTGATCTATGAGTGTTATTCTATACCTTGTACGTATAATTTATTACTTTTTTGTTGGTAAATTTTTTTTTCTTTCCTATTTGGGTGTATTATAAATATTATTAGGTTTATATACGAAAATAATGACTCTTGCCAGGTTGGCATTAGCCATGAGGTGAAAAGCTACTAATCTTAGGAAAACCGTGTGTTGGTTAACAATCTTAACCCAAGTTTTGGTTCGTTTAATATGCATTTGGTTATAACAAAATGTTACGTATTAGTTTTTTTTAATTGAAAATAAAGTTTCGAAATGTATTTTTTAAAATAAAAATTATATATTAATTAATAAATCAAATATCAAATACATATTACGTGTTAACTTGTTCTAATTTGCTCCTAATAATGATCTCAGGCTATACAATGTGAGAGAGATTTTTTTTTTTCTTGTTTCGTAAATTTCAATCATTTGTCCACACATTTCCAACATTACCACTCCTATGATATAACACAAGTAAAAAACAAAGGTGATCAAACCTGTCGGGTTGAGGACCCAGCTTTAATGCACCACTGGGCACGCGTGGTGGAGTTCATAAATCATACATTTGGTTCAATCAATGCCTGTATATGCAAGCAACATTGCAAGCAACATTTGCAGATAAAGTAACTTAAAAAGAGTTGCTTCTTTGTAGGGATTCATGTCTGAACATTACATTGTTACATTGAACGTGACAGAATTTCTGTGAGTTGCCTAGCCTCACTTGAATTCCTTAGGTTTGAGTTTACAGCAGAACTCCACCAGACATAAACTGTGTTCATCTCCAAAACCAAGAACAGGCCGCATGAAGGAAACCTTTATTTAAAAATGTTTTGCAATCCATCGAAGATCCTTAAAGCTCTCAGTTCACCACTCCTCATATCCCTCAATCTCCTCCTCAGTATCTGGAACCGTTCACATAAGCAGAATGAAGCAGAAGCATCAGGTCAGGAAGCAAGATATAAATTATTTAGCAGCAGCATATGCTCCTAACTTCATGGTCTAAATTCCTTATTTTCATGAAACAAGATGCCCAGTACCTAGAACATGCAACATCTAATATTTTGCACGGATGAATCCTTGGCATACTCAAGACCTTAATTCAGTGAAAATAAGTGGTGGGATTTGATAGACAGAATATGAAGTACTTCAATTCTTAAGCAACCAAAAAATGAGTACTTCACTCAATAACAAGGGAAAAACACCGTGCCTAAGCAGATTACTAACCCAAGACTCAGCATCCAATCGAGGGAGCTCAAACAACAGATTATAAGTGATCTGTTATGAAACAAGTATCAACAGAGATGTGCTAAACAACTTAAAATGAAATTTGAAAAATCGAAGGAGGTTTAGTCTTACATATTGAGCACGAAAAAGTATTCTCTGCTCACTTGTACATAAATCTACCGCTAGCTGTTTCAGAAACACTCTTCGGTTTAGTTGCTTTGGAGATGTCACATCCAAATCCATGGAGCCACTTGCCTATAAAAAAAATTACCAAAAATTACACACTGACTATGAGCTATTTAAGATGAGCCCTATCTATATCAAATCAACCATTTTTCATTTTTATGGTAATTTCAATCTAAGTAAAGTTTTCCAAGTTCTGAAAAAAGATGTTTCCCTCACCTGCAAGAATTTGGAGTATTTTGATATGCTTGACTCGCAACTGTCTAGAATAAATTGCAGTGCTTTTTCTTCAATTTCAGGGTATCTTAAGTCCTTCTTGGTAGTAGATATATTTGATGCTGCAGCAGCCATCTGGAGAAGCAACCATTAGGAATTCAATAATGAAAATTTATTCGCTGATTTAGAGGATAGAGTTCTCAAACCTCTTCAAACTGCCGGCTCATGCTTGGAGGGCTGACTGCCAGGTAAGCATATGCCATTAACTCAAATGGCCAACCAGTGATTTGTATAGGATAACACTGAGAACTGCCAGAAAGGTTCACAGATTTGAAATAAGAAATTAAAATGTACAAAAACTAAATATAGATAACAGGGGAAGCATAAATCATAAATAATGTCTGAGAACTAAGCTTCTTCAGAAGACAAAAAGATACAATCATTACCACAGATATTTAACCATTTAGATAAGAAATGGAATAAATTTAACTCCCTAATAAATCAACCACAAAAATCTAGGACTACTAAAACAAGATTAAATTAAAAAAATGAGTAAAAAAACATTTATCCAGCTTACGCAGACAATCCATGCTTCCTTAAAGCTTCCAACTTCTCCTTATAACATTTGTCAGGTTTTTTAAGCGACAGAGGTAGCTCTACTGAATCACTAGGATTTGTGCCCTCTTTTGGAACAAATCCATAAGATAACAACAGTTCTCCATTAGATTTTTTGCCATATGATATGAAAACCTGCATAAAATTATGGAAGCCATCTATAAGACATTTCAAACTTTGCCAACTAACATGATATTAGTGGTCCAAACTCCAACCTTTGAAGTTGTTCAGGCTTACAACAGATTAGCATGTCTATGAACATTAAAAAACTGATTGATAATATGTTACTCTAGAGGGTCAATCCTAGCTTCAAAATGAATCAAGCAAATACGGTGTTCAACTGTGAGAACAAAATTTATAAGTATCTTAATATACAGGAATGTAGGTAACGATACATATATAGTGTGCATGTGTGCGGGCACTCATGCATGTGTGCAAAGAAGTAGCTGCATGCTCTCATGCATATATGTAGTAAGAAAAAGAACACAATGTTTCTACCTCCCATTAAAAAAATTAATTGCATTCCCTTGAACAGATCTCATGAAGCTTCCAAATCTGAAATACTTTAGCAACCGGCTTTTTTGGAAGATGAAGTAATCTTTGAGACAAAATCATTAATGACAACCATATAATAATATAAGTTATATATATTATGTACATTTCTTGGAAGAAGTAGTAATCGTTTAAAGAAAATCATTAATGACGACCAAATAAATCAGAAATATTTTAGCAACCTGCTTTTTTGGAAGAAATAGTAATCTTTTAAACAACAACATTAATGACAACAAATAATGATATAAGTTATTTATAAGATGTACATTTCTTGGAAGAAGTAGTAATCTTTTAAAGAAGATCATTAATGACGACCAAATAATAATTTGAGTTCTATGTATGATGTACATTGCTCTCCCTTCACATACATAGTTATATAAGAAAGTAAACAAAAACTCTTTTAGCAACAACTTTATTATTGCCCTAATCTTCTGTGAACCCTATGATCAAATAATATATATGTCAAAATCTCGTTTACCTGCTCACCTGGCTGATAAGCCCGATCTGTTGTAAAGACCACCCCCTGTGATGATTTGTCATAATCCAAAAATGTTTCCACCTTAACCAGAGAAAAACAAGTGAAGGTAGTAATTAGATTAATTATATATCTTGCATGCATCCTTAATAAAGAAAGACTTCTCTGTACCTCACAGCTATGGTTGAGCATATCTGCCCAAGGAACCAAGGCAACCTTTTCATCCATTGAAGGTAGCCTCACCTGTTTTTAACAGCAAAATGAAAGATTTAACTTTTCCATTCTTATAAATCAACTATCCTCTATTGCACTTTGTGTTAAACCTCTAAATTAAGCCCCAATTACAGAACATTTACAATGCAAAATTGTATGTAATAAAGTCACAAAGTTAGTGGTATCAAAGGAGAGTTGAGAAGTACAGCATCATTTACCTCTTTTGTTAAATTTTAAAGCAGAGATATATAATTTCAAATACTTTATTCTATAAAAAAATTCTAAGCCGTTTAGCACTGCTACTGGCATACGTAAACATTTTCCAGGTGAACTGGTCAAGGATTTAGCAGTTGAGAATTTTAAGAAGAACACAAAAACATAAATTAAGAACTTGCTCACTTTGATAACTGACTTAATTTCTAGACAGAATTATGGGATCAATTTGTACTGCACAACAAATTATTTAATTTTTCAGAAAATGGAAAAGAACTTGTCCAAAAACCCAACTATGATTTGAATTGTTTAAGACAGTTGAGGTTAGCATCCATTATAACATTTCTAAGTTTAAGCTTACTTACCAATCGTGAGAAAAGAATGCCAAAGGACCATCTGAATGTCTCCATATTGAATACCTGGAAATCATTTATAATAGCAAGTAAAGAAAAGAAGGCACTTTCATGATCTAACAGCCACAGGATGTAAGCACAATCTCGGAAATTCAGATGAAATGCATTGGGGTAGAATGCCAACACCTTCCCTGTTGAATCTAAAATCAAAATCTAAGGAATGCAGGATATTTGCAAGAAAGGTTGGCAGTACAACATACAAATTAATTTCCGTTACTGAAAACATATATTTCCATTGGTAATTTAGCTCGAGGAGAAAAGTTTGGATAACAGAAAAGTGATATTTCCTTACTCATTGAACTTAAAAGAAAAGCTATCATTTGCCAAGAAGCTATATGTAAAGATGTTCCATGTGCCTTATTAGAGAAACTTCATAGAATGGTAGCATCAGATGAATGCTTCAAGTAGCAGAAATGTAGGTGTGCACCATAGAACAAGTACCTCTTCAGGGAATAAATCAGGATACTTGGAAAATATCCTGAGTCTTAAATCATTGTATCTACATGAGACATTAAAAAATATGATCAGAAGCAAATTAGAGCATTGTATACTAAGGGATAAGTCAGCAGCAATATGAGAATATAAACCAATAACCAAATACGAAACAAGAGCAACCAGTAGAGAGCCATACGTTCCAATGACATTAGTAACTCTTTCAATCGCCCGCTGCCTAATCTGCGAAGCTTCTAGATACCTGTCTAGTTCTGCATGTGTCCTGAAACAATACGGAGAGACTGTAGAGGGAAAAACTGAGAGTAGACCCTTTCTGTAGCAAGGTAAAACTCTTGAGAGCTCAACCATGTGAACAAGTACAGAAGAAAAAACAACTCACCAGTACAAGAGTGAATAAGGCTGTCGGGGTAGGGCGGATATGTAATTGCTCCATCTTGAAGATTTATTGGAACTTGCTTCACTAATAAGATAGGTTGCTAAAAGTGGCCAATCTGGAACAGAGTACTGTTTTAATACTTGACCAGCCTCTGGGGAACTCCACACCTGTGCATACAAAAATCACAGCAGCGCAGCCCTTATTAACTAAAATTAAAGACAGAATTATAATGTTCAAACCAATTAAAGTCTTTAATAATGGACATGTTTCAAAGCATATATCTGATTGCATATTTAACTCAAAACTACCAAACTCAGATATAATAACATTGAAAACTGATCACGGAAAAAGGAATTGCTAAGAACTTACTGAATCTGCAGTGATAAAAAGCGAGGGAGGCACAAAGAGAAGCTTCTCTCCCTTCCTGATATTCTTCAAAGCAACCAATCCTCTCTCCCTACTTCCACTTTGTCTATAGCCATCTTCTGCGGAGGCAAGCCTGAATACGACAACCACGTTTGAAGATCCTCAGCGTTCTCCAAGGAATCAATATCGCAGCCCCAAGGGACTTCCTGGGTCGCATTCGACGACGTCGTCTTGGTTTCGCTTGTGGAAACTGAGCATTGAACTACTGAGCGTTCTTTCTTCAAACTAAGTGAAGGGAAGGTGTGACTATGAGAGTGACGTAGCTTGTGGTGGAGTTGTGGAGAGAACGTTGGGAGGATGGCAGCTTGGAAGATTCTAGAAGCTTCAGCCATGGGTGGTGGGAACTCAGAAGGGGTTAGCCTTATCTGATAAGAAGGAAGATGAAGCAAGGAAGAGAATCCCAAGCGAGAGGCTTTGATTGGGCTTTGCTCGTTTTGACAGTATCAATTTTCGCGCGGTTGTCACTCTTTGGAAACGACAACGTTCGCTCGTTCTAGCTAACACTGTATAGGGTAGAGCGCAACGTTTTTGATCCACTTGTCTTTTTCTAAGCCGCACTAGCTGGTAGCAGGCAAAAGTTCGCATCTTGCTGGTGCATTATTCCTTGGGATTTGGAAATATCTAAGCTCGCTTTGTTAAGGCTTGTAAGAAAGAACGAATCCTCCTTCAGTTTTATGTAAAATCCTCAAAAACAGAAAAAAAAAAATTTTTGCACAATGTTGGCAAGCACCAACCTCATCTGTTGCAACTTCTCTCACTTACCTCAAAACTCAACAAAGTTCAACGCTTCAATCCAAGCTACAAACCTTAGCCAACAAAGTCTCCTGCTTCCCAAAGAACCTCAGTATTCCTCAAACCCCACAGTTGGCAGGCCCTAACTTTCCCATTTCACAGAAAGGGTGTTCTTCAAATATGTCAAAGTACCTCAAACACCCAGAATTCAGAGGAAGAAACAGTCGGGATAAAGGGTCTTCAGTTGATAATGGTAAGAAAGAAGGGATTGGGCAACCTCGATTTTGCTTTGGTGTTGTATGGTGCTCTTATGTACTATGTTTTCAATCTCACACCTGACCAGACCCAGGTATTTTCTAATCCAACTTTGCTTTGGTTTTTTTATTTTCTTTTCTGCAATGCCTTGTTGGTTCTTTTTTTTTTGTGTTAGTTTGATTTGAAATTAAGATGGAATTTGCTTTGTAGCTTTTATTGCCCATGATAGCTTGCGTTTTCCTGGGTGCTTTAGTATTCTGATTTATGTATCGCTTTTCTTCCTGCTGTGATTATTTTTTCTAAATGTTTTCTTAACTGAATATTGGAGCTAAAGTTTGGTTTATTCTGTAATATCGCAAGAGAGTTTACAGGCACTACCGGTATTAATTTCCTATTAGGCCAATCTCTATTTCTCTATGCTGGAGTTTGTTCAATATGATTTTCTACTCTTCTTTGTGTTACACACATATGCACACGAAAATAAATGACAATTATTATTAACACTCTTTCAATGCCAAGTTTCTTTAAAGTACACATTGCTCTTCAGATAGTTTCTTTACAGCACTAACAACCTCCACACATGTATTTCATGAGGTTACTATATATTAAAGGAAGAAGGAATGGAACATGATGATATATATCGTTCATATTCTCCCAATTATGCTGAATGCAATGAGTTTACAGAATTAGAAATTCTTAAAGTAATCAATTTATCATCTGATTAATACTTACATGGATTATAACTCTTTGCAGTCAAGAGACATATATTTTTTAAAAAAGCTCCTGAATTTGAAGGGAGATGATGGCTTTAGGATGAATGAGGTTCTTGTCTCCCTATGGTATATTATGGTGTGTGGCTTTGTGTGTACAGCATGCTACTGCTTCCAACAGGAGAAGGTATCTTCCACTTCTCTTACTGAGTTCTTTATATACTATTCTGAACCTCTGATCTTCGCTATGTACCCCTTCCCCACCCCAACCTCCACCCCTCTCTCTCTCTCCATATGAAAGGCAATTATTATTGAAATGGATGATAATCAATTTTACCTTCTTGCAAGCACCTGAGCATTTGGCTTATTAGTTGATGCATGATCTTCCTGCTTAAGAAGCAGGGTTTGAATCCCCTCTGCAGTTTCAAAATAAAAATAAGAAAATTTACCTTCTTGCAACAGTAGTGAGGAAATTGGTAGGAAGATGACGATTTAGTTTTGTTGGGTATGTCATCTCTGCAGCAATGATCAGGACTCAGGACAAAGGGAAATTGCAAGCTGCTGTAGAAACCCTCTAATGATTAGTACTAGAATTTCAACAAGACCAACTTACTGGGTTCTTGTAGCTTTGACTCAAGAAACTATAAGTAAGCCAATGCTTCTAGGAATCTTTGAATTTTTAAATATTTTGATTGTGATTAATAGAAATCTGATAAGACTAGAAGTCTATCTGTAATGGATGATTGCATGACCTGTAGCATCTATGACATTCATATATAGGTGCTTGAATGAGGGGAAATGTTCAGTTGCCACAGGAACTTCTAAAGTTCTCTTAAGTAGAGAGCCCTAATGCACAAGGCTCCCACATTGCAGGGTCTTCAAATGTCGGATGTACATGGCCTCGCCCTTTTTTTCCCCGAAGAGGCTTACTGAGACTTGAATCCATGAGCAATCTTATGGTTTTTCAAACTCAACTCTTTAGTTGGAGTTAATTAATTCAATCTTTCTAATTTAAGTTATTATTATATCTGCAGCTCAAGAAACAGCATTCCTGCCTGGCCATTTCTAGTACTTTCATGCTTTGGTGGTGCATATGCTCTTTTACCCTATTTTGTTCTATGGAGCCCACCACCACCACCTGTTGAAGAAAATGAGCTCAAAAAATGGCCTTTGAATTTTCTAGAATCAAAATTAACTGCTGGGGTAAGTATTTCTATTTCTCCTTCTGCACAACCTTCTCTTTTGTTCAAACTTCTTTAAACTTCTGAATACTGACAAGAGGATAATGTTATTTATAAGACTGGCATGACCACATCAATTTTGATTTCAAACTGGAACTGTAATATATAACCAAGTGGCTCATTTCTTTAAAATCTTCCAGTGAATCCTAATATCTTGTAGGCATGTGTGAAGCCTTTTATTCTCTAATCAGTGTTTATTTCCAGACTTAAACTTTATGTACTGCAGCAGCCATATAGAGGATTTTCAGTAATATTTCAAAAATATCTGTGTAATTGATATGCCTTAGTATCTTATTAGTTCCTTGGATGGAAGCATAGCTGGACATTATTCAGTCTGTATCAAGTTCAGTAAAAATCCAACTGGCAAAAGGTTTAACCTAGTAGTCTGTTTCTGCTAATTGTACCATCACCATCAAGCTGATTAATCAGTTATCAATTGATGACTGCTTTTGGGAAGAGTCAATATCATTTTTGGGTTAAAAGCAGAGCACCCTAAGGAACCCACAGGCCCCAAGCTTTGGGGTTTTTTTTTTTGTCCCTCCACCTTTACTTTTTTTCATAAAACAGAATACTAATCCACTAGCCAAATTCATTCTAGTGGTAT